GCGAAAAGGGGCTTCGTTTCCGCTCTCTATAATTAGGCCTAAATACTCTCTGGCTTCATGTTAAAAAAAACCAATAGCGCTTGCCAAGTTGGACTAGAATTGCTGTAATTGAAATGCATGATAGTTTTACAAATTATTTCAATAAGTATCTAATACTCCTATTCATAGACATATATATTGTATAATTATAATTAATCATATTTTGGATGTAAAGAAAAGCAGGACATGAAAATATGAAGACTCAAAAACGTTGTCAACTTTAAAAAGTATGAAAACGTTGTGGTTATCTGTACACCAACGTGATAACTTCCTTTTCTTACGAAAAACCAGGTATGGCAAGGCGTGTCTGCTCTCGTGGTTTTCAATCTTGATTACATTTGGAGGGGTTTATTTTGTTTGACCTTTTCAATTGTTCATCATGTGCGATCATTGACACAACTAATTTAGAAACATGTTGTAGGCGTCATTTTAGACCTCTAAAATTTAGTTTGGAGGCATAGGATTAGTAATATGTTTGTGAAGCACCAATTATCGATACACCACCTTTCCGGGGCGCTTTTTCGGTAGTTCCCACCCCGCATTTGTTATTCGCCGGTTTTGGCCCCAAGAGTAGGGGGGTTTCAGGGGGGCTTGCCCCCCTGACCTAATAAAAACAAGGTGGGGGGTTTCAGGGGGGCATGCCCCCCTGAATTTTACCACAATTTAATGTTTTGCAGTTGTTAGGTTTGACATCTTAGCTTGCCGCGAATCAAACGTATATAGATCTAGATCTAGATCTAGATGTAGGTCAGGCTCTATCAAATAAGGGGGGTGGGAACTACCGAAAAAGCGCCCTTTCCGGCAGCATCCGCCATCCCCTGCCTCTAGATCTAAATCTATATAATCTGGAATCTAGATCTAATCTAGATCTAGATTCTAGATCTAGAAATCTAGTCTAGTTCTAGTTTTTCTAGATTAGATCTATTCAGCATGGAAGTGGTAGCCAAGTTCAAGAGCTTTTGAGAGTTCACAGAGGCTCTGAAAGAGTATGAAAGTACTAACACCACAAAATTTGCAATCCACCAAAATTGTCCAGACCCCTGTGCTGTTTACGTGTAGGAAACGTGTACCAGTCGATTCGGGTTCCAGAGCAAGCAGGGGCAGCGCCACCATTATTGTATTCTTTAAATTAACGAAGTGACTATTTCTCCGAACGTTCGGAGAAATAGTGCCCATCTGTATTTCTCCGAACGGTTTCCGGCTTACGATCTCGTGAT